ATGTGATCAGAGCACAGGAGTGAGAAGAGACTGCCGTGACGTGATGAAGAGGTAGACAAGGTCAAGATTATGTAGGGCCCTCACAGATGTTGGTTAGTATTTGGATTTAGCTCTAAATGCAGTGGGAATCTATTCAAGAGTTTTAACCATGAGAATAACCATGAGGATTCAATTTATGTTTTACATCATTCTGGTAGTGTATAATAGATTATAGGGTACAGACATCAGCTCAAACAAGAGATAATGCTTGGGCTAGCAGGAATCTATTCAAGAGTTTTAACCATGAGAATAACCATGAGGATTCAATTTATGTTTTACATCATTCTGGCAGTGTATAATAGATTATAGGGTACAGACATCAGCTCAAACAAGAGATAATGCTTGGGCTAGCTTGGTAACAATAGAGGTGGAAAGAAAGAGACAACTTCTACATACATCTTCTGTTCTATCTGAAAAGAACAGTCTTTGCCCACATCCTTAGAAGTCCTTTGATCATGGGAAAATTTCCTGAAAAAGAACTGATGGCATCAATTATCTCTTTATATGTGTGAAGTTCAGAGAAGAGATAGAAAAAGAGATGTGATTTAAATCTCAGCTTGGCCCTATCCTAAATACAGAACATTACACAAGTTACTCAACATCTATGAGCAGCAGTCTACTTATCTGTGAAATGGGAATAACACCACTTACATCTCATAGAAGCATTTATAAGGTTTACATATAAATGCTGGCAATCTGCCTACATATTTTGTTCACGCATAGATGCTCTACAAATGTTAATATTCACCCTCATTCCTGTAGTAACAACATTTTCTAAATGGACTGAGTGGAGAAGGAGATATTCAATACCAAGGAATGCATTTCTGATAGTGGAATTTCAGGCATGGGAACATCAGAGTACAGGAGATATTTTGAGGCACAGAAGCATTCCCTGAAACCAACTGTTTACCCTACCTACCATGACATAAAGGAGCCTTCATATTTCTGTAATATTTGTAAAATACTTGATCTTCAGAAAAATAAACAATTAAATATTAATGAATGCTGTTTAAAATACAAAGGTAGTTAATGCACTCAAATAGGAACCATTAATGTCAACTACTCTAAAGATGACAATGGGACAATAAAATACTACGTATTTGAGTAAGCAATAATTATACCAATATTTCTGTAATAGTTCACAGACAAAAAAAGTCAAAACATGATTTCCATTAGGGCGCATGTTAGAATAAGTTCCCATAGCAGCTAGGTAAATTTGCCATTTTAAAATTAACACTTAAAAAGCTGATATTTACTTAATTACTAAAAAATAGGACAATAGAAGATAGAAGGCTTTTAGGGCTTAATAGCATTAATATTATACACATAAATGACATTCTATGTAGTGGGGCTCAATATAATTAGTTCCAGGGTTTATCTAACTTTCATCTTCTTAAAATTACTGAATTTTCAGCATTTGAGATAGTAAATCTTTCTTCATATATCTATGATAACATATTCCTAAATTTGTATGATTTTTATTAATTTTCATTAATTTCAAATTAAATACATTAAGTTTCCTGAGACATATGGGATATGCAGAGGAAAAAGCAGCATGATTTTCAGAAGATAAAAACTGAATAAAAGGGACTCCCACCCAGATCAACATCATAACACAAACTGGAAAGAGTGTTTCTTCATTCATAGTAGCTGATTTGTTTGTTCTACACAACAGATGCTTTTGTTTGTTTGTTTACTTAGAGAAAAGAATAAGAAGATAAAGGAGGGAAAATCTAATATACAACATGCCTATATTAGTTAAGATAACTTAACAATAAGTAGTATGAAAGGGAGGGAGTTGTGGTCTTAGAAAGGGCATTATATATCTGTTTTTCAAGGCATCTAAGAGAGTGCTTTATCCATAATTAATATTCAGCTGAGACACACCAATTTGGCTACATGAGATTTGTAAGACTTGTATCTATTCTAATTGCTTCCAGCCCATGCTATACCTGCTGTTAAATATTTTTATTATCACTAAAACTATAGTCTGCTGGCCTGAAATTGCACCCAGTGGGCCTGGACTATCTTTCTCAGGGTCTCTAAATCTTAAGGTTCCATTCATAGACACATATGTGTGCATGTGCACACACATGTGCTCCATATAGGCCCTTGTCCACTGAAGTCATGCAAAGAAACAAAATTGTCAATTTCAGCACATTTCTATAATTCTTTATTAATATTTGGGATATGCTTGCAGATTTTAGAGTAGCCAACCAAGTACAAATTACATTAGAAAATGGGGCCAAAGTAGGAAAAAAACACTATAATTATATTCAAATCCATGTCCTTCTCTTTAATTTTATGATCTGTAAAACAAAAACCAGACTAACTCACAGAGCTTTTGTAAGAATTAAATTACATACTACATATTATAATATCTGTGTACTAGACACATAGGTGATGAAAAAATGCCTACTGAAATTGGATCTATTCGATATAGAAGACAATTTACATTTCTGGGCTCACAATTTAGAAAAAAAAATAAAACCTTTAAAAGGCAGGCATAGGGCCGGCCCGGTGGCGCACTCGGTAGAGTGCGGCGCTTGGGAGTGTGGCGGCGCTCCCGCCGAGGGTTCGGATCCCATATAGAGACCGGTCCGCTCACTGCTTGAGCATGGTGTGGGCGCGACACCGAGGGTTGCGATCCCGTTACTGGTCACAAAAAAAGACAAAAAGGAAAAAAAAAAAAAAAAGGCAGGCATAGACACAACTAAAAGTTTCAAAAATAAGACCTAATGAAATCAATGTCATTTAACCTAAAGAGGAAAAATATCACAGCCATTTAGTTTGTCGCCTTCGAATCTAACAGAGCAAGAGAGGAGAGGGTTAAGATGAAGAACCAAGAATTTTGGCTAAATAAAAGGAATTTCAATTAGAAATAAAAATTTCTAATTTTTATTAAAAACTAGAGATTAGTAGAAATATGAAATATGTGAATAGATAGCTTCTGGAATCTCTAGATTACTTCAGTGTGTAATGATCATCTTATCTGAAGACTAAGCAATTCCTCAAATCTGTTCTAGACCAACAATTCCAAAGAGATGCAGAAAAAGTTGGCATTCAAGAAACCGAAGTCGTTAGTAGCTCCTGCTGCTAAGATTCCATGTAGCTTATGACAGCCCCTTCAGTAATTGGGGCCTCAGTTTTTTCATTTGCAAAATTAGATGGTTTGATTGTGAGTCTCTCTTCATTATTAAAAAATACGACTCTAGTTTAATATGGTTTATGGCTGACATATATGTAAGAATACAGAGGTAAACCATGGGAACACTTCAATGATTACTTACACTGGGGTAGCACAGAGACGCAGTGGCATTGTTGCAATGCAGTAAATTACTATTTTGATGTCATAGATAGTATACTAAGTAATCTGAAATGTTTTAAGCCACTTGACAAGTTATTTACAACCAGGAAACTACCTATCTAGGTCACTAACACATGGAAGAGCAATCAAGTAACAATTATACATTCTAATGTATAGCACCAAAACACCAAGCTTGTCTTTTGAAGGTCATTTTAACAGAACAGATATTTCTGACATTATGTTTTGCTCATGACAATAAAAATATTTGCGTTCTCAGAACACATGGAAATTAACAATGAGAAGAAGAGATGCTAAAATGTGTTATGTTGCAGAAGGATTAATAAATTCATTTCTAACATACCAACCACATACTCCAGATAAAGAAAATATGATTTCCATTCATCTACTAGTAATAGTTTATCGTAAAAGTACTTGATATTTTCACTTAAAGATTAACTCACCAAATTGCAGAAGGATTAATAAATTCATTTCTAACATACCAACCACATACTCCAGATAAAGAAAATATGATTTCCATTCACCTACTAGTAATAGTTTATCGTAAAAGTACTTGATATTTTCACTTAAAGATTAACTCACCAAATAGAAGCAGTTTATGAAACATGACATGAAACTTAGTGATTCGGAGCTGCCTGCTTCCTCGGAGAAACTGAGATGACATGCAGAAAAACCTACTCATATAAACAACATGCGACCTTGGTCATTTTATTTTATACAAACTAAATTTGATTTCCAATTTCATATTCTGACACTTAGCAATAAAAGCACTTTAATTCTGAAAGATTTTCTTTAAAGTCACTATAAGTATATCCCATGTAAGTATTAGATTTTACAGATCATTTAATTTTTAACTTCAGTTACATCATCAATACCATTTGGAAAAAAAAAATCATAAATGCCCATATCTTACTCTCTCCCTAAGAAAACTAAAAACTTTGTAAAGAATTAAGCTTTCCTGCAAAACACTTGCTTTATAATGACTAATTCACTAATAGGCAGAAGGCTCAATGAATGTAGAATACATAAATTACACCATAGAGGAAATTACTGTCTTGGTAATTTGGAAAAAGTGAGTATGTGAGGCAGAGACAACTTAATCTACTCTTTTGTTATAATATGTGGTCAATAGCTATCTCATTTAATCACATGATCAATAAATAATATCGTTCTTTTACTCTTACAAGAAGTATTTTCATTTAAGGTTATAAATTAAATATCTATAAAACTGATTCTATGAAATTGATTGCTTCAACTCTGAGTACGTAAAAATACCAATATGACTGGGAGAAAAAATAAAACAAAACATCTGTGTTACCACAGTCGCTATTTTTTACTTGTAAGTATCCAAAGCCTTAGGAACTTTCTAAAAATGCCAAGAGAAGACATGCCCGTTGCAAGGCTAAACTATGCATTCCATGTAGTATTGTATAAACACATTTATCTTTTTATACAAATACCATATATTTTCTTACAATAGTCATTCATAGCCCAATTTCATTTAAGTATTATAGAAGCATCTTTCAGTGGATTATATCTTTTAGACAATATGAGAATCACATTACAGAAATAAGTTTAATAATCCCTTAAAATAATTAGTAACTTTGTGAAATGGAGAACACATCCGCAAAATTACCTGACAAGCAATCTGCACGAGGTAGACCAGCTCTTTAGATTCACAGCCATTTTTCATTACTTCATTTTGTTCTTCTGAAAGTGAAAGCTACATCACATAAGAAAGAAGAGAGGGAAAGAAGTCGTGATTAATAAACAAGAATAAACTAAGCATCCAATAATACCCGGACACTCACATCAACTTAATGTAAAACATGCCTTGTATTAGAACTCTGTTGCTTAACACAGATAAATGAAGAATTCAGAATTTCAAAAAATATATATTTCTAGGAATTGTCTTTGTAGCTTATATGTAAACTGGCTCAACAACATAACAGCAGTAAATAAAACATGTTCACTAAAAAGCAGGTCCTCACTTCCTTAATTTATTTATGACGTCTGTGAAAGGAAGGCATTAAACTGGGCACCGAGAGACAGCATGACTTAACAGTTTAATGGAGCTCAGAGTCTATTACAGAGATTGCAAACTGGCTGCCCAGAGAACAGGTTAGGCTTACAGACATGTTTAATTTCAGACTCACCATGTAGGTTTCCATATTGGATTTTATTTTACGTTTATTTGAACCAACAGCCAACATGTGAAAGCTGAGAGGTTTCATGAAAAATACAGATCTCTGGCTTCTATTGAAAAACCAGAATAGCTGGGAATACCAGGCCCACATTCTTACCTGGGCAACAACCGGCTATAGCTCAGATGTGACCATCATCTTTAAATGAGGTATACACTCTCTTAGAGTGTTTGCCACAGAACTGATGACTCTCATTTTTTGCCTGCACCTAGGCTGAGTGTTAACTGCCATTTGTCATGCTGCCTGCTTTATTATTTTTCTTATACACTCCTTGCTTTACTCATTTATGTTATATACCTGCTCCATCTTTGGATGTGAATTTGCAAACTCTGTTCCAGAGACAGACAACTCTGAGTTCAAAAGTGTCAATAACTGGTTATGTAATCTCTCTTTTGGAAAATGGGGATGATATAATAATAACTATTCTCAAGTTTGTGGGTATTAAATGAGACGATGCATGGAAAGTGTTCCCTGGCACTCAGTAAGTACTTAATAAATGTAACATACCATTATATATTTCTTGTAATATTACAAGAAGTAAAAGGTTCATAAAGATATATTCTCGGGGGGCCAGCCCGGTGGCGCACTGCTATAGTGCGCCGCTTGGGAAGCGCAGCGGCGCTCCCGCCGAGGGTTCGGATCCCACATACAGACCGGTTCCCGCTCACTGGCTGGGCGAGGCGCGGGAGCAACACCAAGGGTTGCGATCCCATTGCCGGTCCCGGTCCGGTATGGGGGCGACACTGAGGATTGCGATCCGTTGCTGGACACAGAAAAAGACAAAAAGGAAAAAAAAAAAAAAAAATATTCTCTATTTAGGAAAACAGTGCCACTGGAAGTATTTTTTTTTAATCTTCAGATATTAACTAGAAGTTCACAAGATAATCATTCGCACACTAGCCACAATAAGCCAAATTAACTAAAAAATCATAGTTTAAAAAAAAATTAAGGGTGAAAAGAAACCTAAATGAACTAAGTTTCAGAAATCAACAAGACTTATGAGACAGAAGAGGCTCACATATGTGCTTGGCAGAGATGCAAGAGGATAAAGAATCTACCTTAGGGTAAGGAGAAACCAGCCAATCCTTGAATGACTGCATGTAAACTAAAGTGAAAAACTAAAATTACAAGGAGCACCTAATAGCAGAGAGTTGACCCCCACCCATCAACCAATTCTCATCAACAGGTACAACCAATTCCCATCAATAAGGGTACAGTGTCAGGACACCAAAGGCTGGAAAAGAGCAGTAGAACTGAGAGAGATGAGCCTGTGGAGTGTGGGGAGCCTCCCCCAAGCTCAAGGCAACTAATCTACTCTATAGACTGGAAGCCAGGCAGTAAAAACTGACAAAGGACAGAAGAATTAAAAGATAGCCCTCTGAGGTTCTTAGACATTCAATAACTGAAGGCTGGAGGAGGCCCAGAAAAGCTGAGAGAAACCCCATTGAGACATTCCAAGCTTTCATAGAGTATAATGCATCAACCCTCCACGATGTGGGTTAGTGCAGAGAAGAGAGCTCTCCTGAGGCACAGAGAGCTAGGAAAAAGGACTAGAGAGCAAAGAAAATGAGCAACTAGGCTGTAAAGCAGAGAGGGAGAATGTGCTCTCCCTCAGTTCAGTAGAATGGTAGCTTCATGGTAAAGCACAAAGACATCTTCAGCATCTCTTCAGTCTTCTGTGAAAGAAATCCCTGGATCTTACCCCCCAAATATTTATAGGTAACGATAAACTCAATAGAACTAAAGCTGCCACAAAGACCAGATCCATATCAAATACATGTCAGCTTGATTTAGCGCCCCCAATCTAATGAACTGGAAGAAGATGCAAGCTCTTTCCTGTAGATAAATAGCATTTACTTCAGTCTCAGTCATCTTTTATATAACATAGTTCACATAAAAATTATAAAATACACATAGAAGCAAGAGAATATGACTCATGTTCAGGAGAGGAAACAGTAATCTAAAGCAGACACAGAAATGGGCCAGGTGTACAAATGATAAGAAAAAATATATAAATCGACTATGATAGAGATGCTAAAATTTAGTAGGAAGGTAAACAATATGCAAGAACACATAGGAAAAAGATGACTCTGGAAAGATGGCAGAGTAGGAAGCACCAGGAATCTGTCTCCCCACCTAGACAACAAGTGCACTGGCAGTAGCTGTCTAACTATTTGGAACTCTGGAATCTAGTGAAGGGCTTACAACTTCCACAGCAAGGTTTGGATGGAAAACTGCAGTTCATTTTGGCAAATATCAGCTCTTAACATACTAGTCGGTATATATCCTCCACTCCCAGCCCTGTTGCAGGAAGCTGAGAACATGTTACTTAAGTCGTATACACATACATACCTTGCACATGCCAGGGTTGGCAAAAAAAAAAAACCCTGTTTTTAATTATCAGAGATCTATGCTGTGATTACCGATCACTGCTTCTAACCACAGAGGTGCAAAGAGGTGTGTGGCCATTGTTGTTGCACCTTCCTGCATTACTGCAAGCCTATGCCCCCTCTGGCTGAGTGACTTCTTGGGGACTTAAAGGGCAAACACCCTTCCCCTTTCCTGCTCACCCTTTGTTTTTTTTTTTATTTTCCTCTTTTGGGAGACACAAACAAAAGACCAGGACATCCAAAAGCATCTGTATATATGGGGAAAATTAGAAATTTATTGCACTTGCCCAGGGAAAGGTGCAGGTTCAGAAAAGACATGAGAAAACCTAAAAAGAAACCAAAAATAAATTTAGTGGCTGAAACTGTATATATGGGGGAAATTAGAAATTTATTGCACTTGCCCAGGGAAAGGTGCAGGTTCAGAAAAGACATGAGAAAACCTAAAAAGAAACCAAAAATAAATTTAGTGGCTGAAAAGTATGATAACTGAAATGAAAAATTCACCAAAGAGATTCAAAAGCAGCTTTGAGCAGGCAGAAGAAAGAATCAGTAAACTTGAAATAAAACAATAGAAATGACTGAGTCTGAGGAATAGAAAGAAAAAATACTGAAGAAAAATGAACAGAAACTAATAAGTCTATGGGACACCTTCAAGCAAACCAATGTATGTATGTGGGCGTACTAGAAATAGAAGAGAGAGAAAAAGGGACAGAAAGATTATCTGAAGAAATAATGGCCAAAAACTTCACAAATCTGATGAAAGACATAAATATAAACATCCAAGGGGCTCAATAAATTCCAAGATGAATCAAAAGAGACCCACACCAAGATACATCATAACCATACTTTTGAAAGACAAACAGATAATCTTGAAAATATCAAAAGAGAAGTGACTTGGCACATACAAGAGATCCTCAATAAGATTAGCAGGCTTCTCATTAGTGACTTTGGAGGCTAGAAGGCAGTAAGCCAATATATTCAAAGTGCTAAAAGAAAAGAACTGTCAACCAAGAATTCTATAACTGGAAAAACTCTTTCAAAAATGAGGAAGATGTTCCCAGATAAAGAGCATCCAAAATTAAGCCATTTCTGAATAAAGAAAATCTGACAGAGTTCATTTCCACTAGACCTGCCCTAAAAGAAATGCTCAAGGGAGTCCTGCTGGGTAAAATGGAAGGACACTACATACTAACTCAAAGCCATGTGAAGAAATAAGGATCTCAAGAAAGGCGAATACATGGGCAATTAAAAAAACTAGTATTATTGTAACAATGGCTTCTTTCTCCACTTTTTGTTATCTATATGATTTTTAAAAAATTAGTGTAAAAGCTACTATTAGTTTAACTTTGGTTTATAATTTCACATTTTGTTTCCTACATAATTTAAGAGACTAATGAATTTAAAATAATTATTAGTTTATCTTTGGGGCAAAAACATGTATAAAGATGTAATTTTGTGACATCAACAACGAAAAGATGAAAGCATGAAGCTGTTAGAGGATCAGAGTTTTTGCATGGAACTAAAGTTAAGCTGGAATAAATTCGAATTAAAATGTTATAACTTTAGGAGGTTAAATATAATCCCCCAGGTAACCACACAAAAAAGTTACAGAATATGTTGAAAAGGAAATGAGAAGAACACAAATATTTCACAGCAAAAAACCAACTAAATACCAAAAAAAAAGACATTAATGCAGGAAATGAAGAATGAACAGCTATAAGGCATACGAAGAAGACATAGCAAAATGAGAGAAGTCAGTCCCTACTTATCAGTAATTGCTTTAAATGTGAATAAATTAAACTCCCCAATCAAAAGACAGAGATTGTCAAAATGGATTTAAAAATATGACCCAACTATATTTTATCTACAGAAGATACACTTTAAATCCAAAGACACAGATTCAAAGCGAAAGATTGGAAAAAGATATCCCATGTAAACAATAACCAAAAGAGAGCAGAAGTGGATAAATATTAATATCACACAAAACAAACATCAAATCAAAAAAAGTTAAAAGAGACAAAAAAGACTGGTGTACAGGCAAATCCAGGAATTTATAATTCACAATAATTTACTGTATTTACTTCAAATGGCTAGAAGAAAGGAGATCAAATGCACACATCACAAATAAA